AGAAAGATGAGGCTTTCTACTCCCGTAAAGATTTACACCCTCGGAAACCCTATACAGGGTCGCTATGGGTCGGAACCGACTCGATGGCACATAACAACAGCAACAACATCTTAAAGCAGTTGAACCCATTCTCCTGTGCTCAGTCAGAGAGGGCTTGCTTCTTGAGCAAAATAGAGGCATGAACTGCATTCCAAGTAGGAAGGCCTGGGCCAAGGGATGCAAACTCTGCTTGGCCACTGCCTGGTGTGTGGAACTGCTTTACTCATCTCTGCTCCTGGTTCCTTAAGTTCAAACCCGCTCTCCACAACCCGCAGCATCTGCTTGAACTCTGTTCTTGGTCAAAGACCCATTGTGTTCAAAACCGCCATGGAGCTATATTGTACTCTGAAGATGCCTCCAAAGGTGGCCAAGAGCCAGAGGAGTGGAGGGAGGAAAAAGAGGCCTAGAGAGAAGAGAAAGATGTGGGGAGATGGCAGTTGGGGGACAAGGCTAGAGGTGGTTCCCTGCCCTAAGTCTTACCCACCTTACACTGGGGTCACCCTGGGCGTCTCCCTTTTCTCGGATGAAGAGGTGGCCTGGAGCATAGACTCTCGGTTCCCACTTGGTCCCTGCTGTCCTCACCTCATATCACCTCTGCAGGCCTGTTCATGATGCGGTGGTAAACGACAACCTGGAGACCATCTGGCTCTTGCTGTCCTATGGGGCTGATCCCACTCTGGCCACCTATTCGGGCCAGACAGCCATGAAGCTGGCCAGCAGCGACACCATGAAGCGCTTCCTCAGTGGTAAGCATGACCCAGACTTGAAGCCTCCAGCCTTGGAACTGTTGGCTGATTCCTGCACACCTGGAAAGGGGATGGTCTTGATCTCCTTCCAGTCTGAGATGGTCCCCACAAGGGCTATCTCTTTGCATGCTTTCCTTCTAGTTCCTCAGAAATATCTATGCACTTTAAAAAACCCCAAGGTCTACTTCCTCTTTATCCCCTTGCTGTGAGTGTCCACATGGGCCCTGGTCCCCCATGGGGATGAATTTCATAGCTTAGTCTCTGAAAGAGGCCTCCTGGTGGGATTAACCCCATAACTGCTTTTGCATGAGATGTGAGTTACAAAGAAGTGGGACTTAGCGTTTTGCTTTTGGATTTGCACTTTCTCCTGGTTTATGATCAAAAGGAAGCCTCTCGGAGATCTCTCCCGAAGCTCTGTTCCTCACTGCCCTTGCTGTGGTAACGTCCACTTCCCTCTACATCCCAGCATCCCTCTTCTCACCCTTGGCTTCTCTTCCTCCCTCACCTACCTCCTTTGGAAACGTGTGTGGTGCTCAGGCCCATGGCAAGGGTCACAAGCCAACATGCATTTATTTTCTCATTAGTGGACAGCAGCTGTTTGTCTGCAGTTAGATAGCTCTACTGAGTTGTGCAGGGGGGAGGAGGGGAGGAGGGGAGTCTAGTTTGGGCATGCTCAGTAGGAATCTCCTCAGACTTGACCTCCGAATTGAAAAAAAAAAAAGTTTCCTTTGTGACATCACAGCTTGGCCCTTGCTCTAGCAGTTACTTCTGACTGCCTGCGCATAACGGAGCAGCTGGGAGAGGACTCTCTGGTCTTCCTTAGAAGGTTCATGGTGGATGGAAGCCTCCAGAATAGGGAGCTATCACCACTAAGGATTTGGACCAAACTATTCCCTCCTCCCACTAGGGTTTTAGCCTCAGTTTGTCCCAAGCCCACACTCCTCAGAGATAAAGTTCTGGGCTCCCAACCAGGGCTCATTTGTTTATCGAACAAAGGTTAATAACTAAGTAGCTGAGGACGGAGGAAGAAAGAGAAAGCCATCAGAACTAGAGGTCTTAATGGAAGGAGGACCAGACTCCAAGTGCCGTCTGTATACTCATAAAAGCTGAGAAGGAGCGATGGAGGTGGCTGAGGGGCAGGGTTTGTCTCCTGTTCAGCCCGCCCTTCATCCAGTTTCGCTCTAATCAAGTAAGCCCTGGAGGTGCATGTACAGCCCTCAGGCCCTCAGAGCCTGGCCCAGCCTCTCCCTCGCCTGGTCCTTTTCCCACCTGCACATTCCTAGGCTTGTGTCCTTGCAGGGCGGAGCTGCTGTGGGGTGCCCAGATAGTCATTTTTGTCCTGTGCCACTTGTGGTCCCATCACTGGGGTAGGTAGATGGAGTGTGCACAACTCATGGCCCCCCCCACACATACCAGACACATATCCACACTCCCTGATAGTCATACACATATCGTTACCTACACTTGACTTGGTTCCCAGGAAATTTTGGCAAAAGTGAATATCCAGAGCATCTCACTTAGACAAAGGCTCTGGGTTTTGAAAAAATGGTCTAATTCATGTGGCCCTTTGGGCTAAAGATCACTGTCGTGCAGTCCTGGGACTCTTTGGGGCCCAGATAAAGTGACTTCTGAACATGTTAGTTAGCAAGCTGATGAACTCTTTTCTTCCGTGTTCCCGTCTCCAAAATCCCTAAGGAGTTTGAAGGTGGAAACCATTTTAAGTAGTTAAAAAATTACACACAAACACTTTTTTTTCTGTCTTCTCCTTATTTCTGTTAACTCATCCCAACTACTAGTGTGCTCTTTGATGCCTCTTTAACCAACTCAAATGCCAGTCTGTGCCACAGAATAAAGAGAAGCCAAAAAACTCATTTCTGTTGAATCAGTTCCAACTCATGGTGTGCCAGAGTAGAGCTGCGCACCAGAGGGTTGTCAATGGCTAATATTTTTGGAAGTGAATCACCAGGCCCCTTCCTTTTTAGGTACTTCTGGATGCACTTGAATGTAAGCCTTTGAGTTAGCAGTCGAGCACTTAGCTGTTTGCACCACTCGGGGACTCCAGAATAAAGAGAAGATGTTTCTTAATTCTTGTACTTCGCATGAAGCTGTAGTTTCATTTGGTGCCTGAATAGGCTGTTATAGACTGAACCCCCTCTTTTCCAAGCAAGTATTAACGGCAGAGGAGTCCCAAGGTGGTGCAAATGGTTCAAACACTCAGCTACCAATCGAAAGGTTGGAGGGTAGCGTCCACCTCGAGGCCCGTTGGAAGAAAGGAGTGGTGATTCTCTGAAAAATCGGCCATTGAAAACCATATGGAGCCTAGTTCTACTCTGACACACATGGAGTTGTCATGAGTCAGAGGTGGCAACTGGTTTGTGTTTTGTTTTGTTTTGATTAAAGGCAGAGCTCTGGCTGGCTGTTAGGGGAAAGTGTAGCAAGTTAGACCTTGCCTGAGCTTCAGGGCCTCAGCCAGCTCTGGGGAGCGGGACTGGAGCCCAAAGGATGTATTGTGGGATGCAGGGCCAGTACACTGGGATTGTTTTTGGATGCCTTAAACCAATGATTTCCCTCTGTCTTATCCCTGCCCTGCCAGTCTCAACATATGTGCACACGCACACACACAAATCTCAAAGAGCCAGTGGGATAGCGACCACAAGGAACATGTTGGGGATATCTTCCTCCACCACCCCACCTCTCCAGCAAGCCCTACACATGGACATACTTGTGTGGGCTTCTGGGTGGTGGTTTTGTTTTTCAACCTGGCCTGTCTGGCTGAGGTACTTAAAATTTTTTTTTTGCTTTTCATCCCTGAGCATTTGCCTGACCAGACCCTCCATAGATTAATGGTCCTCTTCCTCCCCTAGTGGCGATCCCACTGGGTGGAAAATGAAGGCGAGGCCTTGTGGGGTTCAAAGGGCTCCATTTTCTGCAGGCAGAGCAGGTGAGCAGGCACATAGGCCTGGGCCTGGGCCTGGGCCTGGGCCTGCTGTCCTGGCTTTGTGCAAGGCCCCTGTTTGGGAAGAGTCTTTTGGAAATCAAATCTTCTTTTTAAAAACACATAGCAATGTCTGAGTTTCCAGATACCCTTTTCTAAAGCAGAAGATGCTGGTAATTCATGCAGCTTGTAAATGTGGATTTTTAAGATACTAGGTTTGCTTAAAGTGAGGCCATTTCTCCTGTGATTATAAAGGATGGAACGGCTTTCCTTCATTTGTTCATTCATTCATTCATTCATTTATCCATTCAGTTACCAAGCGTTTAGTGAGCATCTGTTAGATCCAAAGGAACCCTGGTGGCACCATGGATTAAGCATTAGGCTGCTAACCACAAGTTCAGTTGCTCAAACCCCCCAGTCGCTTCCATAAAGATTGACAGTCTCGGAAACCCTATAGAGAAGTTCTATTGTGCCCTATAGGGTCACTGTGAGTCCAGATGGACTCGATGGTAGTGAGTTTGCTTTGGGGTTTTGTTACAGTCCTGGGCTATGTGGAATATGGAGACCAGACAGTAACCCCTTTCAACCTCACCCTCACTCTCGGGGCTTGGAGCACCCAACATCCAGCCAGCCCCTCGGAGCAGCCTTTGAAAGGCCTCTCCCTTGGGCTGAATTACAACTGGACTCCTGGTGTGGCACTGTAGGATCAGCACTGGACTGGGAACCACAAGGTGGGCAGTTGAAAGCCACCAGCTGCTCCTCGGAAACCCTATACAGGATCCCTATGAGTCGGAACGTACTCGATGGCACTTAACAACAACAATAACATACTTAGCCAAAAGGAGACTTCCTCCTCGTGTATGTGGGGGGTGGGGGGGAAGGGGCAGAGTGGAGAATGTAGGGTGAGGATGAGTTGCTGTAGTTTACTTTGAGGCGTCCAAGGAAGTACCATGACTGCTTTTCCTCCACTGATGAAAGGGTTGGTTACCAATTTACCCCCGAACCACAGGGGTTTGTTTTGCCTGTCTAAGACCTCTGCCATGTGACACCATGTCCAAGAGGACTTCTGGTTTCTTTCTTCTCGTACATCCCTCAGCTGATGACTTACTTGGGTGGGACCCTAGGAAGTAAAGAACATTGTGACTGCAGGGGGCCGGCCGGGGCACTGATGCTCACATAGAGGTGAAGAGATTCTGTGTCCACGGTGACTCCCTGAGGGAACTTCTTTGTCAGACGTTTGTGATTAAGGTAAAAATCACCATTTTCAAGCAAACATTCATTGAGTGCGTTCTCAGTGCTGTGTGGGGTGTAGTTCCATACCTTTTGAATCTCTGGAAGGAAACCTCATGCCCAATAAGTTGTGACCTCTTCTCGCCCCCTTGTCTCAGCCCCTGGAAACCACTGCTTTCTGTCTCTTTGCAGTAGTCCATTCTCTGTACCTCATAGGAGTTGGGTGATCAGGGAGCATTTATTCCTTTGTGACTAACTCCCTTCGCTCAGCATGTTTTCAAGGCCCGCTCACGTTGTAGTGGGTAAATCAATCAGTATGTGATTCCTGGTTGAGGCTGGATCATATTCCATTGTTGGGCAAACCCCATTTTGTGTATCTGTTCACCCATTAGTGGGCATTTGGGCTGGTTTCTACTTTTAGGCTACTACAAATTTGCCGTTGTGAACACGGTGTTCATGTAGTTAGTTTTTCAGTAATTCTTTTACTTTCTCTTGGCCACATAGCTCAGAGTAGACTTTCTGGGTTATATGGTAGTTCTCTGTTGAACAATTTGAGGAACAGCAAAACTGGTTTCTCCAGTGGCTGCACCATTGGACATTTCCACAAGCAGTATATGAGGATTTCTGTTTCTCCACTTTCCCACCAACACTTGTCTTGCTATTGTCCGTCTTGTTTATTATAGCCAACCTAGTAGGCATGAAAGGAATCCTGGGAGCATAGTGGATTATGTGTTGGGCAGCTAACCACAAGGTCAGCAGTTCAAATCTACCAGCAGCTCCTCAGGAGAAAGATGAGGCTTTCTGCTCCCATAAAGGCTCACAGCCTTGGAAACCGTATACAGGGTCACTATGACTCAGAACTGACTAGGCGGTACACAATCCCCCACCCCACCCCCCACCAGTGGGCATGAAGTGGTATCTCATTATGGTATGTTGTGGTTGCTAAGTGCTGTTGAGTCAGTTCTGACCCATAGCAACCCTGTATAGGGGTTTCAAGGAGTGGCTGGCTGGTGAGCTTGAACCACCAACCTTGAGGATCAAATCGACCTTGCGGTCAGTCCAGTGCATTAACCCGCAGCACCACACCAGGACTCCCATGATGGTGTAGGCTTTGTTTTTTCTTAAATTGTTATGTTTTATGGTAAAATAGAACTAACAGAATTTGCCTTTAAACCATGTATAATAAGTGTACAGTTCAGTGGCGGCCATCACCACAACCTAGTTCCCGAACTTCTTCTTCACCTCCAAACAGAAACTCTGTACCCATTCAGCAATAACTCCCCATCCTCCTCTCCCGCAGCCCTTAGTCCCCTCTAATCTGCTTTCTGGGTCTCTGGATTTCCTGTTGTCGATATTTCATATTCATGAATTCTTATGATAGTTATCCTTTGGTGACTGACTTATGTGGCTCGGCATGATGTTTTCAAGGTCCACCCATACTGTTGCATGTATGAGGATTCCATTTCTCTTATGGCATGGCTGAGTAATCTTCCGGTGCATGTATGGACTGAATTTTGTCTATCCATTCATCCACTGCTGGACACTTGGGTTGTTTCCACTTTGTGGCTGTTGTGAATAGTACTGCAATGGACATTGGTGTATACAAGAAACTGTTTAACTCCCTGCTTTCAAGTCTTTGGGGGAGATGCCTAGGAGTGACATTTGCTAGGCCAGTGGTACTTTCTGAAGGTCAGAGTAAGAAAGGACTTAGGGGCTTGAGCAAGGAGGAGGGGAATGTGTGAAAGTGGAGCAAAGGAAAGTCAGTGTCCATCCTGAGTGTTGTTCGTGAACATGTATGAGAACATGGGGATTGAAGCTGCGACATCAAGCAAATCCTGGCGCTCCTCCTGTGTGCTTCTTCATGGCCCTGCTACACCGTTAGCATCTTTGCTCATGCCAGTTAGCATTCAGCTGTCTCAAAAAGGCAAATGCACCTGCAAGCGACCAAGAGTTGCAAACAGTGAAGAGAGTTAAGGGAATGTGCTGGGGAGCTCTAAGGTGATTCCTTGAGAGGAGCCCCAAGAATGTGGTGAACTAGAGCTGCCCTGTGAGGAAATCTCCCTGGGACCTCTGAAGGGAATGACAATCATTTGAATGTGTATGTTGCAGCACGGCTGCTTAAGCAAATAGCACACTTTCTTTCTTCTCCCCCTTCCCTCCCTCTCTCCCTCCCTCCCCTCCTTCTCATCTTCTTCCATTCCCATGTATTTATTAAGCTCTTACCATGTGACAGGTGCTGAGCTTAGGTGCCAGGGAGACACCGATGAGCAACAGAGAGATGGGACCCACTGTTTGGGAGCGAACAAACTCATTCCTTTATCTCCCATGACACCTAGCACAGGGCTAGAGCCAGCGAGTAGACATGTACCTAACTTGCATTTGCTTCTGGAAGAAACTGCCTCCAACTCTCTAAGTGGTACAGGTTACATACAGCAGAACACAGAAGCTGGCAGTATGACCTCAGAGGTGGAGCTTGGGTTTTCTTTGCTTTTCTTTTTTTCATGGAATGCACAAAAGACCTAACCTACACTACTGAAGTTTTTCCAGTCTGGGTGCTCAGCTATTGCGTTGAAAGCTTCTCTCTAGCTGTCTTTTCTTACCAGGAGAAACCCTTCATCTTCTAGAAGGTTGCTATGAAATGAGTTCTTTCAGCAGCTCGACACAGCTGATAGATATTCTTGTCGCTAGGATGTGTGCCCCCAAGGGAAGCTATATTGGGGTGCCACAGCGCTTTCAATTGGTGGAAACTAGTTCCACCTCCTGTAACAGTAACTGCCAACTTCCTCCTGGGATTGAGTGTTCAGTGGGCACCCTGGCCTCACCGGTGCCCTTTGGACTTTCCCCTATCCTATTGGTGCCATTCGAGAGCTGGGGACAGCTAAGTCAGCAGCACCTCACAGGTGACACAGTTGGATTTGCCAGGAAAATCAGTGGGCCCTTCTGCTCACATGAGGCCGTGAGGTGAAACGGCTCCACTAGATGGCGCTGAGCCAAGAAACAAGGAGGCTAATGAAGTCTGACCTCAGCTCAAGTAAGCAAAAGTGTTTTCTGTTATTTTTTTCTTGTGTTCAAGTACACATTACAAAATTTACCATTGCAAGCCTCTTAAAAGTGTACAGTTGAGTGGCATTTCGTACATTCACAGTGTTGTGCAACCTTCACCTCTATCTAGGCCCAGAAGTTGTCATCACCCCTAAAGGAAACCACGTGCCCAGTAAGCAGTCACTTTCCATTTCCCCCTGCACCCAGCCTCTGGCAACCACCAGCCTACTTCCTGGCTCTATGGATTTACCTGTTCTGAAAATTCCACTTAGTGTAATGTGTTCAAGGTTCAGCCAGCATGTTTGGGTCCTTTATTCCTTTTTATGGCTTATATCCCGTTGTATGTATAGACTGCGTTTTGCTTTCTCATCATGTGTTCACGGACACGTGAGTCCATTGTTTCCACCTTTGGGCTACTGTGAGTAGTAAGTTCTGCAGTGAGCATTGCTGTACAAGTTTGGATTTGAACATCTGCTTTTGGTTCTTTGGGGTCTATACCTAGGGGTAGAAGTGAAAAGTTTCTATGAGGATAAAGCTGACCATTTCCCCCAGGGTTGTCAAAAGTGACACTGAAGGAAATACCCATACTTAACACTTACTTCAAGGAGCTCTGGTAACGTAGTGGTTGCAAATCGGGCTGCTTATCTCACGGTCAGCAGCTGGAAACTACCAGCTGTTCTGCGGGAGAAAGAGGGGGCTTTTTGCTCCCGTAAAGATTTATAGCCTCGGAAACCCTGTGCAGGGTTGCTATGAGTCGGAACCGACTCCAAGGCACATAACAACAACAACATACTTTGGAGGTTAATGGAGGTTAATGCGGGTTAATGTGCTGGACTGCAAGGTCAGTTTGAACCGCAAGGTCAGTGGTTCAAGCTCACCAGCCACTCCTTGGAAACCTTACACAGGGTTGCTATGGGTCAGAACCAACTCACAACAATAACATACTTACTTTTAGGAGCCCTGGGGGCACTGTAGGATAAGTACTGGACTGCTAATCATAAGCCACTCCGTGGGTGAAAGAAGAGGCTTTGTGCTCCTATAAAGATTTATGGCCTTGGAAACCCTGTGCAGTTCAAACCCACAGGCTGCTCCACCAGAGAAAGACAATGCTGTCTACTCCCATAAGCCTTACAGTCTTGGAAAACGTACATAGGGTCTCTAGGGGTCCGAATCAACTCGATGGTAGGAGGTATATTGTTGTTGTTGTTAAGTGCCATCAGGTCGGTTCTGACCCATAGCGATCCTGTATAGGGCTTCCGAGGAACAACTGGTGGGCTTGAAACCGCCGACCTTGCAGTTCAAACTGACTTTACAGTCCAGCGCATTAACCCTCAGTGCCACACCAGGACTCCAGTGGTGGGTATATTGAAGTTTAAATGGGAGAGTTCGCGGGTGGAGATATGAGTACTGGATTCAGCTAATGGACTAGGCCTAGGATTTTGCTAGCAAGTCCTTCCCTATCGCACTGAAAGCAGGGGGCACAGACCGAACTGCCTTTGAACAGTCAAGAGAAGCCACTTGGTGGGGACTGGTGAATTGGAGAGAGTACGTATCACCTGTCCCTTCAGCCAACTTTTGACATGCAGGAATTTGGATGCAGTATTATCTGATATTTTTTCTAGAAAAGTAGGAAATCTGGATTCTTATGTATAACCTCCCAATTTTAAAATGTAGGGATTTAATGAAAGTTTTTGGTTTTAAAATACCGGCCAAATCCCCAATGGGCGAGATTTGACTCCCAGCTACTGGCTTACAACCTCTGGTTGAGAGCAGGAAGCATCTCTCTGGCCACTCCAGGCCCCTCATGGTCCTTCCTTCCCTTCGCCCACTCTCCTGGCCCCACATGCCAATGTTGCTGCTAGAGTTCTCCTCCAGCTCATCTTCTGGGTCTCATGGCTTCTCTTCCTTCATCAGATCACCTCTCAGATCTCCAGGGCCGGACAGAGGGTGACCCTGGACTCTCCTGGGACTTTTACAGCAGTTCTGTGTTGGGTAAGCTTTAAGTGGTTTTCTTCCAACCCTTGACTGTGTGGCTCAAATGTGGGATTTGGTTTGGGTTTTACTGATCCTTCGCAAAAAGACAGGACGAACCCAGTAGAGTTTTATCCCTTCTTCACCTGTTGTTAGCTTTCTTTTAGTCACAACCTTAGCCCATCCTTTCCCCATAGGCAGAACTCACTGGCCTACACCAAGAGATTCAACACTGATTGGCCAAAGCTATCCCTCAATAGCCTTCTACCGCTCCACACTTTTGGGGGCTTTTTGACTTCGTACTTTTAAGTTTCTTTCTTCTCCCTTGCTTTGTCACTTCATCTGGTGACACGCGAGAAGGACCAGATCTGGTGGCTCTGCCCCTGCGATGCACACTGAATTTGTGAGGTAGCTGCTATCTCCTGGGCCTTGAGCCTCTAGCTCAAGTTGTACTTTCGAGGAAGAGCAGCATGACTTTATGGATGGTAGTCACCTCGCATTTGTCCCATTGGGCCAGAGGTTGAAGACTGAGGGAAGCACCTGCCTCGCAGCTTGGGGAAAGCTAGGGAAGAAGGTTGGGGTAGAATGAAATAGGTCACAACCAAACATGTGGCTGAGGAAGGAAACCATCTGAGATCCTTCCAGGCTCCTAAGGAATCCCAGCAGGCACTAGGGGAGTTTGGGAAGGCTTCAGCAAGCAGAGGGCAGGATTTTTACCTGGCTCTTGACACTCATAAGATCTCGTTGGGCTCCAATCTTCAACAGCTGTGAACAGCTAATCCGTCATGTCCCCGTGCATGTTCCAATTAGAGGAGGGAGGAGTCTAGTGAACCTCTGGCTACAAAATAGCTTTCTTCCAAGACTAGAACTTTCACACGCCCCTCCCAAGGATGTGAGCCATGGAAGCAGTAAGAACTTGACCCTGACCAAGGGTCTGTAGGCTTGTTGTTTGTCGTCTCCCAGTCACTGCCCTGCATACCCCTTTATGTCGTAACATTTCTTCAGTTTTGTCAGCAAAGTCTAAACTCCCGATGTGCTCTCTCCTTACAGAGGAAAAAGACGGGTTTGCCTGTGACCTCCTGCACAATCCTCCTGGGAGCTCCGATCAAGAAGGAGATGATGTGGAAGAGGATGATTTCATGTTTGAACTCTCAGACAAGCCTCTTCTCCCATGCTACAACCTCCAAGTGTCAGTGTCCCGCGGGTAAGTGTCTAAGAAATCTACAGGGACAAAGCACCGAGATCCTGGCAACCCCTGGCCCGCCTCCCAAGGAAGGGTGGAGTGCTCCAGGCGGAAGCTGAAGACCCAGAGAAGGAGCACAGGCGCATAGGAAGCTCATCTATGACAAAGACCAGCATGACTTCCTGCCCGGATTACTTATGTTCACAAAAGAGTCTGTGGGCTCTAGGCCGACTGACTGTATAGCATTTCCTGGACCGGAAATGAAGATTCACTCTCAGGGTTTTTTTGTTTTTTGTTATGTGTTGTTCCGGGTCGGAATCGACTCGATGGCATGGGGGTTAGTTTTGGTTTTGGTTCCTGGGTATAAGAAATGAGCTGGAAGATATTTGGACTGATGAACTATTAGACTCTTTGGAACATTTTTGTGGTTTCTGGGGACAGTCAGACAGAATATTTAAGATTGAAATTCTTGGAAAAGCTGGGACATATGGTTCCCATAGCTGGGGGGGCCACTCAGGTGTTTAAGTCATCACAGCTTGGTATCTTCATGTTGGCAAGATGGTGGCATCTGCTGTGGTCTCCGCTCACCATGTCTGTTGTAACAGGGATCACCCATTTTCAGGGACTCTATACTTGGCACTTCATATGAAACGAACCCAGTTTCAGTTCCATTTGTGGTTCTTCTCGTATGATCGGTGTGGGGGGACACGCTGGTGAAGAGAATGTCAGCATGGATTGGCCTTTTGTTCTTAGCTTCATTAGTAAGTATTGTCTTCTTACCTCCATCTTCGCCTATTTCAAATACCTTTGCACACAATTGTAGGAAGGATGATTCTCTGATATCTAGTGGAAAAGGTATCGGATCCTCTTTTTTTTTTTTTTTTTTTTAAGTGAAATGTCCTGAAGGGCACATGATGTGGGGTGGAAATATGGGTTAGGAACCATTCAGATGAGACCTCAGTTTACACCTCGGACCACTAGACAAAGGTTTCTTTGCATCCCTTACCCCAGGGCCTGATACGAGTAAAAATAGCCCATATGATGACACTCGTAGGAGTCAAGTTTCAGGGCTTTTGGTCCTTATTCTTCTGGGCATAAGCTGATCCCTGTGGGCAGGGGAGGGCCTCTGGGCTATAGTATTGCACAGTTAATTAATTCCTCCAAAGTATTCAGCATCGCCTTCTCTGAAACCAGATCTTGGGCCCCGGGCAGTAAAAGGGTCAGGGCAGTCTGCTTTAGGCACAGGCAGCACTCAGGGCAACCAGGGGCTGGTGTGCCACCCAGCAAGCAAGCACGGTTTTAGTGGAGAGGATTGGCAAAGCTGGTTTGCAGGTTTTCCTGACAACGACAGTAAATTCTGAAGCTGCTCTCCCCCACAGCTGTGGCATGATGGGAAAATTTATGTTCTTCAAGGGGGGAGCAAGGGGGGGGCTAGGAGTGTAGAATGATGGCTCTGAGACCCTGTGGGGTTCAGAAGTACCTTCTGAATCATCAAAGCAAGGCTGCGTTCTCATCATCCATATTTTTGTTCCAGGATTTTATCTTTTCTTTTTTTGAAAATGATAGTCCAAATAGATGGCATTGATGGTCCCTTTCAGAACACTCTATTCCCTGATTATTTGAGATGACAGAGGTTGCTGTCATTTGGGAGAAATAGTGCATTTTAAGGAGAAGGATTGTGGGTCTGAGTAGAAGTTTTAGGTGCTGTACAGAGAGTTTGGTTCCATAAACATGTCTTGAGCAGCTGCATCAGGTCAAACCCAGATGACCAAACCACAACTCTGGCCTTTAAAGACTCCACAACAGTCTGGTGGAGGAGCCAGAGCAGCACACAATTAACTAGAATCAAAAACAAAATGTTCTACGGAGACTTATTAGGAAACGAACACATGCTCATTGTAAAAAGCAGTTCAAAACAGTGTTGTCTGAAACCAAAAAGCCCCACTTCACCCCAAGCCCTGATTGCATCCTGGTCGATAGGGGCTCTGTTACCCTTGCAGCAGGGTCTCAGGTGCCAGGAGACCATAGAAGATGGGATGAGCAATCTCTCACATTGGGAGGAGGCTTCACTGGTGGTATGACAACTGACCTGGGCCCAAAAGGAGAGAAAAGTGGAGGGCATGGCATGAGCAAAGGCACTGGGGCCCTCGAGTGCCTGGTATATTCTGAAAGTAGTGGGTGGTGTTGGGTCAAATGGCTGGCACTTGGTGAGGTGAGGGGTACAGTGTACGTGTGTGTTACAGAGTGGAGATTGGGCTGACGAGGTCAAATGGAGTCACACTTAGAAGGTCTTGTTTCATATCAGGCTAAAGAATCTGGAGTTTTTTGGAGGTACTGGGGAGCCACTGAAAGCTGTGGAGGGAGAGAGGAAGAAGGTCAGATTTTGTTTGTAGAAAACTAATAGTAACAGAGAGGATCTGATGAGGAGAGGTGGGGGATGCAGAAGAGTAAGTGTTAGCTGAGGGAACCAGTTTAAAGACTGATCCAACAGAGTCCAGGCCAGAGGTGGTGGCAGCAGGGACTCGGGCAGGAGGGAAACCCTGTAAATGAAGCAGGAGGAAGGAGGGGGGGGGGAGGGAGGTAGCATTTCTCCATCACCCCCTTCCTGGTTTACCAGAGCTAGAGTTTGGCCCCTGACCGGCCTCCCCAGTACCCCTGCTAGCTGTCCCCAGGCTGCTGCCCAGTTGGGTACACTCAGCAAAGTCGGCCTGTAATGTGAGCTTGGGCAGAAATGATGGTGCCGCCGCCGCCACCCGAGAAAAAACTTGTCTAATGCATTCCAGAGCCAAAGAGAAATGCCTTTTGGATTACCCGCAATTTAGGCCTTTCTCCACGGCTCCCCTCAGCTGGGGAAGACCCGGAGAACCAGAAGGCATGGGAAATAGGAGTGAGAAGAGGGAAGGGGGAGCAGCGGGGTGGCAGCAGATGGTCAATCCCAGGTCACCGGGTACTGGCGACATCTTGGGGAAGTGGGGAAGAGTTGTGGGTTCTGGGAAAGCTCGCATTTCCTTCCCACCCCCTGTCTTTGGAGCAGGTCAGGCATAAGTTGAGTGATAGCCATTTTGGCAAAAGCTGGGCCAGGCATTGGAGGGGACAGGAGAAAATACAGCAAAGACACCCAAGGACGAGTCCTGGTGATGCCGTGGTCAAAGCGCTCCACTGCTAACTGAAAGGCTGGTGGGTCAAACCTGCCAGCTGCTCTGCAGGACAAAGATGGGGTCCTCTGCCCCCATAAAGACTGCCCTATGCTCTGGTAGCATAGTGGTTACCAATCGGACTGCGAACCTCAGGGTCAGCAGTTCGAAACTACCAGCCGTTCCGCGGGAGAAACATGAGGCTTTCTGCTCCCGTAAAGATACACAGCCTCGGAAACCCTGTACGGGGTCGCCATGGGTTGGAACTGACTCCGCGGCACATAACCACCACCATGGAGTGGTTCTACTCTCTATAGGGTCGCCGTGAGTCTGAATTGACTGGATTGGCAGTGGGTGTGGTTCAGGGGTGGGAGATGGAGATGCGTGGCCAGACTAGCATCATGGCCCAGTGGGTTCAAGCCCAGGGGCCCTAACTCCTATTCTTGCCTTTTCTAGGCCCTGCAACTGGTTCCTCTTTACAGATGTTCTGAAGAGGCTGAAGCTGTCCTCAAGGATCTTTCAGGCTCGATTCCCGCACTTTGAAATCGCCACCTTGCCCAAGGCAGAATTCTACGGGCAGGTAGCTTCGAGTCAGCTGCTGACCCCTGCAGAGAGACCTGGAGGCCTGGATGACAGATCCCTGGCAGGCTCCTCTGAGACTGTGGAGCTGGTGCGGTATGAGCCCGAGCTGCTCAGGCTGCTAGGGTCTGAGGTGGAATTCCAGTCCTGGAGCAGTTGACGGGGAACCACTCCTCCCTGTTCTCCTTTCTCCTCCAGAGTATGCCCTCCCCCCTGCCTCCCATGTCTCCCTCACCCACCGAGCACCAGACTGCAGAATGAGGCAATAATCTGGACCAACAAGAAGCCGCCTTATCAAATGCCAGCATTAGTGACTGGATTTTTTTTGTTGTTTTTTGAGGGGGGTTACAATTAGTTTTCATCTCCCTGTCAACGTCATTGTTGCTGTGGTTGGTGATAGAGGTGGAAAGTTGAACCCCACGTCTGAGGACAAGAGATCCCAGGGGTGGTTGGAGGCGGCTAGGGTCCTTTGGACCAGCCTCCCTGTGTATGACCAAGACCAAACCTGGGCCTGTCCTGAGGAGAAATGAGAAAAGCCCAAATCTTTGAACAACGCCCCTCCGTTCCCCTGTGTTCTTCTGTCTTTCATAGTATTTATTTTATTAGTATTTAATTTGTATTGTTTCATTGGTTTCTGATAAGTCTGTATCACTGTGATGATTTGAGACAACTTGGTTATGTTGAGGGACTTCTTTCCCTTCTTTCTGTTCCTCTGGAGCTGCTCTTTCCCTCTGACAAAGTGACTGGGGGGTGGGGTAGGGGTGGACCTGGAGTATGACTCATGAAGCTAGCTGGTGCTGGCCTAGGGCTTGGGGGTTGGGGTCCATCCTGAGGCTTTGGTGCTTCCCCCATTGTTGTTTGTTTGTTTTTTTCTGGTTTTCCTCTCCCCCCTGCCCCCATTTGTGGCAGCCCTGCTCTCTTGAAATGCGTGTGTTTGGGGGGGGTCTTAGAGGGTGGGGAGCCAAGAGGATTGTGGGGTGAGAGGTTAATTCTCTAATAAAGGAAGAGTGGAGAATGGGTCTGATGGATCAGGTGCCCCCTCTTCACTGCTTTCCCCCCTACTCAGAGTGCACAATATGGGTTGGTTCCCACAGCTTTCCCCCCTGAAGCCCCACCCCACCCCACCCTGGCCCCACCCTCTCTAGATACCAAGCTTCTCAGCACCCAGCTCTCAGCCTTTCCCAAACTAGCAGAGCCCGCTCCTCTATCTCCTCCCTCGGCCCCCAGTCTCCTTTGGAATCTGGAGAGGGCTTTGGGACTGACTGCCAGATGTGAAATCCAGGCCTCCGTTGTTTCCTAGGCAAGAGATTTGTCTCCAACCCGGGCTCCACTAATGCCTGCAGGCCTCCCTCCTGCCTCTGGGCCTGCAGCGAGCTGGGCTCATTCAGAGACTGGGCTCAGAGCGGAGAGCACAGGAGGGAGGAGCTTGGCAGCTTCTCCAGCCCCGCCTCCTCCGTGGCGTTGTCTTCTTCACTCCTGTTCTTATTTTTCTATCAATTGCTATTTTTCCGAACAATCCTTGTAGAGAGTATGTGCCATCTAAAGGCAAGAGGGCCTCACTGTGGCTGGCTCTGGTTGGAGATGGTACAGTTTTATTGTACAGGTGCTAAAACTACAACAAAAGAAGAAAATGGAAAACAAGACAAAAAAACAAAACACACACACACAATAACAGCCAGTTTGAGGATGGGACAATCTGTTCTCTGGCGGCTCCTGACCTGTGTAGGAGCATTTGGTGGTTATTTTCTTTGTATTGTGTTTGTTCTTTGTTCTCAGGGGGATGTTCTAGACCCCCTTCTGTAGGACTGCTCCCACCCCCACCATACTGCCCAGTTGGTTTTGAACAGTTGTTCGCCCTTTTTCAAAAAAACAAAACAAAACAAAAACAACAAAAAAAAAACAACAAAAATATATATCTATATAAAGTTGAGGGGTTTTGCATTTGGATTTTTTGGTTTTGTTGGGGACATGGTATTGTGTGGTTTCTTTGATATTTGCCTTTACTTTTTCCGCATTTGGGTGTGTATTCTGGCTGCCGTTGATGTTTCATTTTTTTAAGCAAACAGGCTGTGGAGTCAAAAACACTTGCAAACCGAAAACCTGGCTCGGGGCTTCTGTCTGCTGTCTCTCTTTTCACGCTCTGCCCTTTGTGGCTTCCCGATGAAGTCGATGGGGAAATAAATCCCTGGTCCATCCCACTCGGCAGTATGGGATGAGGGGTGGGGGTGGGGGCTGCAACAAATGAAAGTAAGGTGACTACTGGGAATCTGGGTCACCGGGTCAACCTCGGGGTGAGCCGGCAGGCATCATGGAGCCCTATTGGTGTGGTGTGTGGGGTTGTGTGGGCATGTTGGCTACCGGAGTCGCAGGCTGGTGAGACTTGTGATATGGCTGCTTTAGGAGCAGGGAGGGGCGGGCAGCAAGCAAAACTCTCACCTGCTGGTCAGGCTTCTCTCGCCTCCAGTTGCCTGCCCTGGACTGCCCAAGCTGACACCTGCACAGACTGCTCCCCCCCTCCCGTGGATGCCTTGTGACTACTGCTTCCAGAAAGTACTGTTCCTGTTCAAGGGAAAGGAAGTGTTTGACAGGACTGTGATGAGGTCCTTTCAAGTTCTATTCTTGGGGCCTCTCACCAGGGTCGAAGTCTCTAGGGAGCCCTGGGAAAAGAGTTGTATAGGTGGAAGTGTATATCTGGCCAACTAGCATCCCAAAAGAAAACCAAAAACCAAACCTGCTGCCATCAAGTCATAGAGGCCAAATAGGACCGAGTAAAATTGCCCTATAGGGTTTCCAACACTAAATCTTTACAGGAGCAGACTGCCACATCGTTCTCCCGAAGAGTGACTGGTGAATTCGAACCGCTGACCTTTTGGTTTAGTCGAGCGCTAGGGCTCCATGGACGAGAATCCACTCGGCCCCAACTGTTCTTTGCTCAAGCCCCAGGAGCTGGTCTCGTCCCAGTGCCTTTCTGCCCAGATGTACATCTGGGGCATCATCCCTTCTGAGCCCCAACTTTGGTCTTCCCCTCCTCATTTCAGACCCCAAGACATTCTCTGGTTCACAAACAGCCCCAGAACAGATCTGATTCGTGTCATTCCTCTGCTTAAATCTCCTTATTTCTAGTTGGAATCAGCCACTGAAAGCCCTATGGAGCACAGGTCCACTGTGACACACATGGGGTTGCTGGGAGTCAAGCGTCCACTCAGGGTCATGGGCTTCAGGTGGGTCTGGAGGGTAGTGAACTAACTGGTCAGTAAACTCGTGCCCCTGTCCTTCCACACTACCACCTATAACGGGGCCTCTTGGGTGTTGCATTCCTGTCCCACATCCAAGTGTGCGTGTGTGTTGGTGTGGGGGGCGACCTGCCGCAAGGACATCCTGCTTAGGAGGTCAGGTCGGGGCCTTGGGCAGCTTATGTCCCGGGTACTAGGCTCCCGCTCCCATTTCACGGTGGAAAGCAGCCCACGTGAAGGTGGCTAGGCAGGCCGGCCGGCCGGCCGGGCGAGGACAGCAGCGGGGTCGCAGCGCACACTCTGCTGGAGGAACCGCCGCCGCCGCCGTCTCGTGCTCACCTGCCGGGCGGAAGCGGCAGGGTCTGCGCGACTGGCCAATGGGGAGAGGCCATTCAATGGACCCCTACCTTCCCCGGGAGGGAGGGGCGGGTTAAAGCTCCAGAGCCCTGGGAGGAGTTGATGGAGGCCGGGGCAGCTGGAGGACAGTTGGAGGTGCCGGGGCCTAACAGAGGGATGGAAAGCTACCGGCCACCTCCGCCGGGAGCGGCAGCCGCCGCCCCGCCCCTCCTCCCTTCCTGGGCTCAGCCGGGCCAACCGCCCGCCGTCGCTGGCTCCACAGCACCACCTGCTGGACGTCGGCCTCCACACCCGCCGTTCCAAGGCCGAGGCTCTCCGAGGCTGGGTCCCGAGTCGTCTCACTCTTGGTTCAGCAGCTTTTGCCTCTTTTCTTATACATGACGGGGTCAGAAAGGTCTATAGTGGTCAGAGTAACTCTTTCTCCAGCCCCTCCCACTGGGGCCTGACAGTCCCACCACTCAGTCCCGCCCAGTGATGAGGAAATAGTGGTGAGGCAGTCCCTGGAAGGAGGGAGGAGCGGCCCCCTTAGGGAGTTCAGGACTTGGCCTGCTGTGCCTGGTGACAACAAGGCACGCACAGCTGGAAGCGGCCTTGGGTTCCTCCTGGACCCCGTTGCCTGGGTGATGACTCTAGACTTGGGCAACTGCCTCGCGGTGTTATGGTGGTGGTGGTGGTGGTGGTTATGTGCCATGGTGTCGGACCAACTCCTAGCGACCCTGCACAGGGTTTCCAAGGTTGTAAATCTTTACGGGAGCAGAAAGCCTCATCTTTCTCCCGCGGAACAGCTGGTAGTTTCCAACTGCTGACCTTGCGGTTCACAGCCCTATTCCTAACCACTACGCTGCCAGAGCTCCCAAAAATTGTACTGCTATAGTACAGGACTGAAGCCCTTCTGTTAAAGACAGTACTGGTTCATTCTCTCACTAAGCATTTACTGAGCACCTACTGTGTACCAATTGGTAAGGAGCTCTGGTAGCGTAGCGGTTACGAATCGGGCTGTGAGTCGGAACCGACTCCACGGCACATAACCACCACCACCACCGTGTGCCAGGATAAGCACTGGACCACCACGTCGGTTTGAACCGCCATCTTGCAGTTTGAACCAGAAACCCTCTACAGGGTCGCCGAGTGGGAACCGACGAGACGGCACTTAACAACAATAGGCAGTGGGGATCCAGCAGTGACTAGCACACAGTTGTCGCTGCCCTTAAGGAGCTCAGAGTCTACTAAAGGGGAGACACACACAAATCATCAAGGTGCTGAGGGAGCCGGGAGGAGAGGTAAGCTGCTAGACGTGGCACGTGGCAAAGACTGGCATGTGGTTGTCACGTGACCCCCCCCTCCACTTCAAATGAGCCTGCCTCCTGCTGTTCAGCACAGGTTAGTTTATCAAATTGGCTAGTTGAACTCCTTGAGTAGGAAAGGCACACTAGACAGGGAAGGCTTTTTATGAACAGAACATAGGCAAAAAAGTACCAAATCTTGGGAGCTTAGTGGCACTTCAGGATAAAAGCAAAGCTGGTGGTTCAAGCTCACCAGCCACTCTCCAAAACCCTATACAGGGTCACTATGAGTTGGAACCGACTCGACAGCACAAGGCTGGATGGTGGGGGTATCGTGAGGGCAGCCCCTTGGAAACCCTGTGTAGGGTAACTGCATCGGAATTGAATTTGCTTGGGTTTGGGCTGTAGAGGAGCTCGACTGCTAACCAAAAGGTTGCTAGTTAAGAGTCCATCCACCCAGAGGCACCTCAGAAGAAAGGTCTGGTGACCTATGCTTGAATAATGACAGTCACAAAAACCTACTGAGCACAGTTCTACTCTGAGACACATGAGGTCACCGTGAGTTGGAGGCAAGGCACTTGGGAAGAAGAGATGTGGGACAACCATTGTGGCTGAGCAGAACCCAGTAAAGCCAAAGCATGGTGGGGCCGGAAGGGGCCAGCGAGTCCATCCACCCAAATGGAGCAGTGGCGGAGCACTGGGAGACACGACCCGAAAAGTCAAGAAGGAACTAACAGGAAAGGGCCTCAAATAGTGCGCCAAAGACTTGAGATTTAATCTGAAGGCCGGGCTGGTGCTAAACTTGAAATACTTCTATAACTACTGCCCTGAACCCTCCAAGTGCCCCACCCCCGCCCCAACTCCTCCAGGACCCCTGGATGGCTCATGAATCAGCACCTAAACAATTCATGCGCCGTCATCTCAGATGGCTTGGAGGTAAAGTATTTTGAGTATCGCTCCTACCCTGTGGGCCATTAGAAGGTGCTGGAGGCTCTTTAGCAAGTGGTGGTGGTTATGTGCCGTGGAGTTGGTTCCGACTCATAGTGACCCTGTACTGGGTTTCTGAGGCTGTAAATCTTTACGGGAGCAGAAAGCCTCATCTTTTTCCCGAGGAGCAGCTGGTAGTTTCGAACTGCTGACCTTGACGTTAGCAGTCCAACTCATAACCACTAAGCTACCAGAGCTCCATCTTTTTAGCAGGAGGAAGACTGACTTGGTGACCTGGTAAGGGGTGCCACTTATGTGTCTGGGGTGAATTGTGTTATGCTGTAGCTTTGGGAACGTGGAAGAAAGTTTCATTTTGAAAGGGTTTTTAGTGCATGGCGGTGGTGATGGTGGCTGTGTGTTGACTCATAGCGACCCTGTCTAGGGTTTCTGAGACTATAAATCTTTACAGAAGCAGAAAGCTGCATCTTTCTCCTTTGGAGAAGTTGGTAGATTCAAACTGCTGACCTTGAGGTTAGCAGCCCAACATACAACCCATGACGCTTCCAGGGCTCCTTTTGTGTGCAGTATGAGAATACAGTTAATAGAGAGGCTATCTCTGAGGAGCTCTGGGAGCTTAGTGGTTACGAATTGGGCTGTGAACCACAAGGTCAGCAGTTCGAAACTACCAGCTGTTCCGTGGGAGAAAGGTGAGGCTTTCTGCTCCCGTAAAGATGTACAGACTCGGAAACCCTGTACAGGGTCGCTATGAGTCGGAACCGACTCCACGGCACATAACAACATCTTTGAAGGGCTAATAGGCATCGAGGTGGAAATGGCCAGCAGCCCACCAGATATGTGAGCCAGTAACATAGGAAGAAAGTGGGGAGCTGGCATTCTAGATTTGGGACTCCTCTCCAAAGAACCAAGCTGGAGTCACCAGAGTTGTGCCTTGCGGAGCACCCACATTGAAAGCCACAGATAAGCCAGCACAGTACACAGGCCACGGGAGAACCAGGCTGGTGCAGACGGAGGGGCTGGGAAATGCCACGTGCTCAGAGTGCTCACAGGAGCCGGGAACTGTGAAAATGACATTTGATTTAACTGTGAGGCTATTTGATGGCCATCGAATTATGAGTTTCTGCGGGGAGGGGGGAGAACAAAACCAAATTTCAGGAGGAGGCACCTTTCCCCAACCCATGCAGCACATTTGTGCACATTTTACAAAGGTGACCCCTTCTCAAGATGTGTTACTCTCAGCCACCAAGAAATTGTCGTAATAAACTGATTTTATTAGAAAAAGACACTTTAATGCCATCTGCAGGAGACATGTAGTAAACGCACCTGCATGACCATAGAAAAGAATGGGAGAGGATGATCGTATGCAGGTAGCGACCAAAAGGAAAGGGAGAGGAGCAACCAGGGGAGGTAGTTAGGTCAAGTGCACAGCTTTGTACCAAGGACATAAGAAGGTCCTGAGGCACGGATTCACACCAACCACATTCACCAGAAAGACATGGCTGTTTCCGAGGCTGACACTTCTTAGCCTTGCCCCCAAACTTGGCGGGAGAGAGGCAGGCTAATTCAAAGAGGGGCTGGTTTTAACAGAGAATAGGGTGACCCTCAGAAAGAGGGCAGGCTAGGCACCGCAGGAGCATCCGCCTTCTTCTGAGGGTTGGAGATGAAAGACAGTGTTCTACGTGAGAATGTCTATGGAAGTCACGAGACGAGAAGGCAGGCCAGGTGGCAGGAGCAGAGCATCCATACTGGACTATTCCCAGCTACTCCTGACAGCTGTCATGTCAGGGGTGAAATGAATCCAGGGAGTCCCTGGGTGGTGCAAATGGTTAATGTACCCAGCAGCTAACCAAAAGGTTGGAGGTTCGAGTCCACTCAAGCGTCCTAGAAGAAAACCGTAGCAATTTGCTCCCGAAAAGTCATCCATTGAGAACCCTATGGAGCACAGTTCTACTCTGACACACGTAGAGTTGCCAGAAGGCAGAGTCTACTCGATGGAAACGGTTTTTTGGGTTTTGTTTTTAACATGAGTCCAGAGGACACCCAGGACCGAGCATGTAGATCAGGGTGCCAAAGAGGGCTGTCGTGTGTGTGGAGGGGCTGGTGAGTTTGAACCACTGACCTTTGAGTTCAAAACGGCCTTGTGGTCCAGTGCATTATCCGCAGTGCCGCACCAGGACTCTGGGGTTAACCACAGGGGCAGCCTTTTGACCTGTTGACTCTGGTGCCAGAGGTTGCCTGGGATTGAGTCCCCATCCCGCCCCCTCTCTGGGTTTATACCGTTCCAACTGCATTCCCCCACCCCCTCACACTGCAGCTCTCCTGCCATGGGCCTTTGCCAGCTGTGACATCTCTCTAGATCAGAAGACTCCAACCTGTACTGTACCTCACAGTCTCCAAACCAAGTGACTCCTGGTTTGTACAAAAAAAAAGAAGAAGAAATCCCCATATCTCTAGGTGACCCATGGAGAGACACACAGCCTTGAAGATCTCACAGCTACATCTCTCTTCTTCTCCCCGAAGAAACTAAGACTTACAGATACATACAGATATTCACATATGGGATAGCAAAGTCCCTGTGTAGGGAATGTAGCTGGTGCAGTGCAGTCAGGCTAAAGGCCACATCACGGACTGGTCAGACTTCTCCCGCCATCACCAAGTCAAGCTAGTGTCCCAACAAGAGCAGATCCCCTAGTACTCTTGAGGGCTATGGTCTGATGCTTGGCCATGGTAACACCAGGAGGGGGTGGGGGCTGAGATGGAAGGGTAGGGAACTCTACTCAAGTCAGTCTCACTAGAAGAAGTCCACTTCAAAAATGCCACTCAACTTGGCCTAGTGGGCTACACTTCCCCTTCTACCTTGCCTTATATGTCATGGGGCTCCATCTTAATGAGGGATGTTGGGTTGAATGGAGAGAAGGGGGCTGGAGTTGGGGGTCTGGCCAGCAGGCTCCCAGAGGTGGTCACACTAGGCTCAGCCATATACAGGGACCCTGAGCCTGAGGAGAGCTCAAGTTCAGCCACTGGGGTCAGCCCAACAGTGGGGCGGCTGGGTGGAGAGAAAGTCTGGTTTCCCATAAGGCTCTGATTCTGGGAACCCCTTGAAACCAGCTGGGTTGGGAGTGGCTGAAGGTGAGCCTGATCTCTCAGGAGCTCCCTCAGGGTCTCTTCTGGAACCAGCAGCCCCCCCATGGGGGCCCCAGTCACCATGCTGTGCACATACGAGGAGGGCCTGAGTGGCCCCTCCTTGACCCCGGGAGCTGTTGTGGTGCCGGAAGTCCTGATGAAGGCAGCAATGACAGTCCCAGGGGGCTGAGAGCTGGGCCCTGCTGGTCCAGCAGCCGTTACTGGGAGTGGCGCTGGGTTGGTTGGGTGGTTGGCCCCAGCTAGAAGTTGGGGGAGGCCACCAAGAATCAGTGGAGGCCCTGGTGCCACCACCTGGCTCTCTGGGAAACTGGTGTTCACAGGGAAGGAGGCCTGCAAAGTGAAGGTGTCCTTGAAGGTTGAAGCAGGTGGAACATTCTGGAGAACCAGCTGGGTTGAAGCAGTAGTACTGGCGGGAGGCCCGTTGGTCAGCACCGTGGTCAGAGGGATTGTCTGCAGGGTCAAGGCGGAGCCCGACCCGACAGGGGCCACTCCTAGATGGATGTTGCCCGACACTGAAGAAGTGCTAAGAAAAAAACAGAAAACAGGTTTGGGGAAGACTGTAGACATTGCCCCAGCTTCCTGGAAAGCAAGGCATATGAGGAATGAAGCTGAAGGTATTTTGTTGTTGTTGTTGTTTTGAAGGTGTGTTGTTTGCTGTTGTTTTATTGGTTGCTGTCGAGCCAATTCTGACTAGAGAGTAGCACTGCCCCACAGGGTTTACTTGTTTAGGGTCTTTACTAAACCATCAAGCTTTGGGTTAGTGGCTGAGGGCAAACCATTTACACCCTCCAGGGATCTGTTAGCTAGGGATCATTCGAAGTATCTTACATGCGAAATTTCACAGTCCTCACAACAGCCCACAATTTCATAAGATGACCAATCTGATTTTACTGCTTGAGGCCGCTGAGGGGTGTCACTCGTGTTGCTCGCCGTTCTGCTCTAAGGCTGCCCTTAAGAAGGGTGAGAGGCACATCGGCAGAACCCAGGAAAAGTCCAACCTCTCTTATTGATGTTATATATCGGGGGCACCGTCACATGGCCTAGGAGTGAGAGCATCCCAGATGGGCCTGGAGGTTCTGAGGAAGGTGGAGGGGTTCGCTGCAACAGTCTCTACTGCCTCTTTTTGGGAGTGAAGGAGGCTTGTGAGGATGGGTCCAGGGCTGGAGGCTCCTGGTGGCTGCTTGGAGGAGACCGCTGGGTGACAGGTGCAGCCCCAGCTGGTGGCAGAAGTTTCTCGCGGTCAAGTGCCATTCCTTCAATGTGTGACCTTGGGCAAGTCACTTTTCCCCTCTTGATCAACAAGTGCTCCATTGGCTCCCCAGGGGCGCTGTGCAAGTCCCATGAGACCATAGACACAGCAGAGTTTTGCAAGAAGCTGAAGACTGACCCCTCCCCCCCCCACTCCACCCCACCCACCCCGAGGTGCTGGGACTAGCATGGTAATTACACCGGTGACCTTACCTCACGGCCTGGGTGAGTTTGGCCTGGCCCTCTGGTGGAGAGACAAGCACAGTGGAGGTAGTAGGAATCTCCTCATCCAGAGACAGCCCCAATTCCAGACTCGCCGAGGGCTGTAGCCCGACGTGTGGAATCTTTGGCTTCTCCCAGGAAGGGCCACCCTTGCCCTGGGTGGCAGCTCTGGATGAGACCCTGGAGCTGGCTCGGCGGGGGGTAGTGGTGGAAGAAGTGGAGGCCTGAGGGGACTCGGCTGTGGCCTCACGTCTCTCCTCCTCATCTTCAATCACCACCAAATCCTTGGGCATCTCCTTAAACTGGTACACCAGCCTCTGCCCTTCCACTTTGGCCAGGATGCCTCTTTGGTAGTAATATCTGGGGGACAAGGATCAGGCTAAGGTGAGTGAGTCGTTCCTTCACCCTCCAGGGCAGGAGAGCAAGGACAAGGCCAACTCCTGAACTTGAGAGGCTTCAAGGACATGTCTAAGATTTCCCCCTTTAAGGACTCAAAGGGTAATGATGTTTGTGGCTGCTGCTGCATGCCATCGAGTCAGTTCCGACTCATAGCGACCTTGTATAGAGTTTCCAAAACTAAATCTTTGCGGGAACAGAAAGTCTCATCTTTCTCCCGAGGTGCAGCTGGTGAATTCAAACTGCTGAGACTGCAGTTAGCAGCCTAACATATGACCCACTAGGTTACCAGGGTTCCTTACAATAATGCATGACTGACTAAGGGATGGAGAACAGGAGTGAGGTCCCAGTCTGAGAGACCAACTCAGGCCGGTCCCCTGGCATCTCTGGCCTGTAATACATGAAGAAAACCCTTCTTGAACATGTTGTTGTTGTTGTTAAGTGCCGTCCAGTCAGTTTTGACTTACAGAGACCCTGTATTGGGTTTCTGAGGAGCACGTGGTGAGTGGTTCAAACTTACAGTCAAGTGCTTATCCTACAGCGCCACACCAGGTCTCTAGAGATGCAATGAGGAGGGGGTTTTCCCTCCCAGAAGTCCATGTGGGCCTGGGAAAGGGGCTCAGGAACAAGCAGATGGGAGGCCTGTTGAGACCTCTTTGGGCATAAGATGATGGACCTAAGGTGACGTCACCGGAAAGGGGAACCCATGCCCTAGCAGCCCCTACCTTAGGGCGCGCCCCATCGTCTCGTAGTTCATGTCAGGCTTGTTTTTCTGCTTCCCCCACAGCTTGGACACGGCTTTGGAGTCCACCAGCTTGAAGATGCCCTTCTCTCGCTGGGTCCACTTGATGTACTTGGGGCAGGTGTTTCTGTCCTGCAGAAGCGCCAGCAGGAACTCCCACAGATAGATGGTGCTGCCTGCGGGAGGGCAGGCAGGCGGTGAGGGCAACCTGGGCACCCTGGAGGCAGAGAAGGCTCTCCTCTCCCACCTCCCAGCCCTCCGAGCCATACCTTTGCCGTCCTTGGATTTTTTCCTTATGGGCACACTGGGGTCAGTGACAGGTGAGGTACTTCGGTTGCCCTTGGTTTTCCGGACTGTGAAAGGGAGGTGGGAGGGTAGGCTGAGGCCGAGAGGGAGGGAGGGCCCAGGAGCTCACCCGGTGGGGTGGGACAACGTGGCCAAGTCATGGGGGTTGAACGCCTAGCTCTCTGGGCCCATCCTTGCTCAATGGCCCACCTTCATTTCCAGACCCAAAGGTAGCACCCAGACACAGCTAGGGGAGGGTGCGGAGAAGCGTGATGTGTTAGGTGCCATGGAGTTAATTCCAACTCATTGCAACGCAAGGTAAGAGAGGAAAACTGCCCCATGGGGTTCCCTAGGCTGTAACCTTTACAGAAGCAGATCCTCAGATCTTTGCTCCAACAGGCATGGGCACGGGCACGGGCACTGGGTAGGTTTGAATCACCAACCTGTCAGCAACCGAGTGCTTAATTAACCCTTTCACCACCAGGGCTCCTTGTGGGGAAGTGACCCTAACTTTTGGAATAGAAAGGCAACCTAAGGGCAGGTCAAGTGGCTGACGGGGCAGTCTCAACCAGCTGCTACCCGAGTAAATCAATAACACCAGGGCTTGGGAAAGCTCAAAGTCCTCTCCCACATGTGACCTCAGTTTCATAAGCTCCACAGAAGGAAGATAAGCACATGGTACATGACCCATCTTTGCTAGGCAGAGGCCCTCCCCACCAGCTCCCAGCCTCAGCCTTTCAGGACCACCTTGGTAAACCAGAGAACTGGGTTTTTCACGTGACCATAGGCCTCAGTCCAGTCCTTCACAATGGTCTCCCTGACCCCACACTCACTGTCCAAACACACACATACTTACTTCTCTTCTTTGATTTGCCCGTCTTTCTAGCATTCTCCTCTTGGAGGCTCTTCTCCTCCAGAGATTGCCCCTCCTGGTCACCTGTGCCACCTGCCCTGTTCAGGGCCTCAGGCTCAGAGGTAGGAAACAGGTAGTTGGGCAGAGAGACGGCTGGAGCAGCGTCTGAGTCAGCAAGAATTTCAGAGGTGCTGACTGCAAGAGGAAAGGTCTGAGGTGAGTGAGTGGGGCTGGGTGCCGGGTCCCCCAAGGCTTGAGAGAAGGGCAGGCTAGAACTGAGGATACCTCAGGCGTCTCCCACCATATGAGGGACGGGGACATCTACGGAGCTGTGGGCAAGTTCTGGGGTAGCACCCAGTGTAAGGGCTGCTTGATTTAGTCACTCACTCAGTTTACAACTCAAAGAGACCTTAGAAATCCAGTTAGTCCCAGTCCTCTGCTTGACTGACACCCAGAGATGGCAAGGCCTGGGACTAGTTGGCACTGAGGAAAACCCTGGTCAATCTGGGATGGATATTTGTGACAGAGTCAGGATTAGAAACTCGAGGACTCTTCATTTTCAGCTTCAGGGCTTTCTCTACCCAGTGCATCACATCACCCCCTTGAGAAAGGGTGGTCCCCTATGGGGATGACTGGGGCAGGAGGTAGGAGCCAGGTGGGATCGGCAGGGATCTGAGCCCTCTTAGTTAAATGAACCAGGCTAGGAGCCACCTCATCCCTCCAGTAACAGGAAAGGGTTATTGAAGGTTTCTAGCCTAGTCCATTTCTCAATAGCTAGGTGAGTGCTCTACTCAGACAGAGCCTGTATTTTTTCATCTCCCAGAGCCAGGTAAGAGAGCAGAGAGGTCAGCAAAGCCACTGGCCATCTATAGCACCCCTTTGACCTCTCTTATTCCAGTCATAGCTCAGGAGCGTGTGTACATATGGAACGTACACGCATGCCTGAGTCCGATAACGTGAGGTGCTATGTAAGTACAGGATGTAAGTACAGGCTGCCTGGAACGACTGGTCACGGGGGCTTCAACTTACAGATCTGCTTCTCATCCAGGATGTCGTTGGGAGATTCCACATTGAGCAAGACTTCAGTGGTTGACATGGTGGGCGAGGTTGCCTCATTGTCATCTGACCCCAGATTGAAGAGGTGGGGAGACAGAAAAAGCCCCATCAGGATTTATATATAGGGCACAGGGCAAGAGGTACAGTGAGGATCGGGGCTGGCCCAGAGGATGCTGTTAAAGAGCCAGATAAGCAGAGGTCCCACAGGACAGCCTGGAAGGCTCAGCACTCCGCCCGCCATAACTCTTCACCCTTTCCTCCATCCCTCGCCAGCTGGCCTCCACATCTCCTTCCCCACCCCATCCCTAAAGATCATGAATCCACTAAGACGAGTCCCTCCCCTGTGAAACAGCACTGCCTATTGCTGGTCCTAACCACCCTCTCTAGTTTCCAACTGTTGGGAGCCTTGCCCATGCTGCCCAGAGTCACTAAGAGCCACTGTGGGCTGCTGGTCGTTAAAGACAGAACCCCTCTTTCCACAAGCCCTTCCTTCCCTGCTGGGGAAGGGGACAGACCTGTCAACAAAAACCTGCCCTCCAGGATCGGATTTTCCGTCATGCATACGGTCCCATCCGTTAGAATACCGTTGTGACCGTCGTCCAGTTCCAGGCCTGAATACAGGTGCAGTAATTCGGGATAGGGTACCTGCTCCACAATCACAGCTGGGAACACTGAGGGGTCTTCTAGCTATGGAGAAGATAAGGATCTGGTTCAAGGCCCACTCATCTCTTCCAGGAAGCCCTCCCATTCCAGAGTCTGGCCCTTCCTGCTATGCCTGAGGGACCTGTCCTCTGTAGAAGATGATATGATATTGCCCTATGCTCAACATCACTAGGTTATACTTGACATGGGTTCTTTTTTTCCTCAGTGGCTTGAAACAACACAAATTTGTTGTCATTACAGTTCTGGAGGTCAGAAGTCCAACATGGGTCTCACCAGACTAAAATCAAGGCGATAGGAGGGTTGTGTTTTCTTCTGGAGACATGAGGGGAGTGTCCCTTTCCTCCCCTTTTCCAGCTTCCAAAGACTGCCTAGATCCCTTGGCTAGTGGCCCCTTCTTCCATCTTCAAAGCCAGAACACTGACCTAAGTCCTTCGTACTCTGCCATCTCTCTGATTGTCCCTTACCTGCCTTTCCCTCCCTCCTTCACTTGGAAGGACCCTAGTGATGGCATTGGGCCCAACGGAATGATCAAGACTACACTCCCTATTTTAAAGTTACCTGGTTAGAAACCCTACTTCCGTCTGCAACCACATCCCCCTTGTCATGTAACCTTACATATTCACAGGGTCTGGAGAGTAGCATATTCATATTTGGGGGGAGGCATTCTTCTGCCTACCACAGCCTGATTTTCACCATTCTCCAGGTTTTGTTTAATCAATTCCTCACATTAATTATTACTGTAGTTAGGGGCCATCAAGTCGATTTAGACTCGTAGTGAACACATGAGACAGAGTAGAACTGGCCTATAGGGTTTTCTAGGCTGTAATCTTCAAAGGGGGTTCCAGGGTGGCACTGTAGGATAAGCACTGGACTGCTAACTGCAAGGCTGGCGCTTCAAACCCCCCAGTTGCTCCTTGGAAACCCTATACAGGGTCACTGTGAGTTGGAACTGAACAGCAATCTTTAAGGGAGCTAATTGCCAGATCTTTCTTTCTTGGAGCTTATAATGGATTGAATCGTGCTCCCCCCACTGCCCCCCAGTATGTCTCAACTTGTCTGGGCCATGATTCTCAGTGGGTTGGCCGTTAAGAAATGATGTAATTTCGTTGTTATGTAACGATGCAATCATCTCCCTGATGTGATCTGATGTGATTAGCCAATCAAATGTTAGGAGATTAAATGTAAATTTTCCTGGAGGGGTGGTCTGTATCACCTTTTATTTTACAAGAGAGAAAAGGAGAGAGAATCCAGCAGAGATGGAAGGGCCCGGAGTACCGCCAAGAAAGAAGAGCCAGGGTCCCCAGGCTGAGAACCTCCTAGATTGGTGATAAGACACATAGAGATCTTCAAGGGATACCAGGCTCGCAGATGTTGCAAATAGACAAGGACCTCCCCCCACCGCCCCTGAGCTGACAGGGAGGGAACGCTTTCCCCTAGAGCTGGCGCTCTGAATTCAGACTTCTAGCCCCCTAAACTGGGAGCGAATACATTTCTGTTACCGTAGCACTAGAGAACTAAGAGCTGCTGGGCAAGTTCAGTTAGGAGCTGAGCATTGGACCCAGCATTGGACCACCAACGCTTCTTATATGAATGCCTTTGTTAAAATCACAGGCACAGTTTCTGTTATCCAAACTGGATGCTGCCTAATCCTAATCCTATTGGTTATTCTTTGGTATATTGATCCTGTACTATTGGTTATTACTTGTTACATGAAGCTTTTAAACACCTCTCTCTCTCTCATCTGTTTATTTATTAACCAGCCATCTTACTGAGCTAAGTTGACCAGACATACAACCATATTCACAGGAAATAAATATAATTTTCCCACCTATTTTTAACCACTTAGTTATCTTTCTGATTCTCTTGTTCAATTGTATTGTCCAAGTTTCCAGAATAATGTTGGAATAACAGAGGAGGTGGGTTTCCTCGTTTGTGTTGTAATGTGTGCATGTCCACACAAATGTGTGGCTTCTTGATGAACAGAAACGGGTTGGCCCTGCACCAGCTGCACTCAACCAAGGCAGGCAATTAAATTATAATTGGTTGTGGTTATGGGTTAATCTGTGGCCAGGGTAAGAGCTCAGGCTATGGGAAGGGTCAGGTTCATTCTGAGGGCAGTGGGAAAGGTCTAAACAATGGCAGTTCAGTTAGGGCCCCAGTTTGAAGCCAGGGTTAGGGACTCAGAGTGTGGACAGCTAAGGGACAATAGCAATGAAGACGGACGAACAGAAATGTTCTAGGGGCAGTAAGACCAGGGTACCACAACTGTCTGAAGCTGGAGAGAGAGAGTGTGTTTCACATTTCCCAAGGGATTTGTTGGGCAGGGACAACATGAGGATACAGTTCATGTTAATGGAGAATCCCAGAGGAGGAGGAACAGGTTCGTTGTTGACTTTGTTTTTGTGGTGGGTTTGTGACTTTTGAGTTCTACAAAGTAGAACTGCGCCATAGAGTTTAAGAAACCCCAAACCCAACCATTCCAACTCATCGCAATTCTACAGGAGAGAGTGGAACGTCCTAAGACTGTAAATCTTTACAGAAACGGGCAGCTACATCTTTCTCCTGTGAAGTGGCCAGGGGATCCAAACTGCTGACTTTTGGGTTAGCAGCCAAGCACTTAACCACTACGCCACCAGGACTTTTTTCCATAGGGTTTACTTGGCCTTAATCTTACAGATGCAGACCCCTAGGTCTCTCTCTTCTGTGGTGCCGCTGGGTGGGCTTGCACCACCTGGGGACCCTAGCGAAGCAGGTTTGTGGAGAAAGATAAAGGGCACAAAGTTTAGAGATGGTGAGTTTGAGGTACCTTTGGGAGCCCCGGTGGTTCTGTGGGTGAAGCCCTGGGCTGCTAACCACAAGGTCACTGGTTCAAACCCACCAGCCTCTTTGCTTCTATAGGGTTGTTATGAGTCAGAAGCAATTGCGTGGCAGTGGGTTTGAAATGTCTACAGGGAGCCTATAGATATAAGTGTCCGGGAGTTCCAAAGGGAGCTGGTGATCAAGTCAGTTCTGACTCACGGCAACCCTGTGTGTGTGCTCCATAGGGTTTTTTAAATAAGGTTTTGATGGCTGGATTTTTGGAAGTAGATCTCTAGGCCTTTCCTCTTAGGTGCCTCGGGGTGAATTCGAACTACCAGCCTTGCAGTTAGTGACCAAACATGTTTATCCTTTGTACCACCCAGGGAAATTAAGCTGAGCTGGCGCTATGGGTTCATGCGCCAGACTGCAAAGCCGTTTGAACTACAAGGTCGACAGTTCCAGCTCACCAGCTGCTCCTTGGAAACCCTATACAGGGTCACTATGGGTCGGAACCAACTCGACGGCACTTAACAACAACAACAAAAGGAGCTCTGGTAGCATAGTGGTTACGAATCGGGCTGCTAACCTCAGGGTCAGCAGTTTGAAACTACCAGCTGTTCCACGGAAGGAAGATAAGGCTTTCTGCTCCTGTAAAGATTTACAGCCTCGGAAACCCTGTACAGGGTCGCTATGAGTCAGAACTGCCTCCATGGTACATAACCACCACCACCAAATGAATAAAAGGTTGGAGCAATACTGTTTCATTTTTTAAATTGCATATGAAAAGGAAATATACTTGCCTTTTTTGGTTGTGAGACATTGGGTGAGTCCTCCCTCTTCCCCCCCCCCCCACTTTTATGTATTTCCCGTATTTTCTTTAAAGGGAATGTAAATTCTTCACAAAAAAGGACAGAGAATGGTCAGTTCTGCCTAATGTTCCTGAGGGATCTAGAAGAATCCAAATCGATCAGAGGCCTCTGAAAATGGCCACTGAGCAGTCACCCTGGTTAGAGCAGGGTCACCAAGTCAAATTACAACAGGTCTCAGAGGGAACCAGGCTGTTGGATTCTAGAGCTGTGGTGTCCACCTGATAGCCATGACCATGCCATCGAGGCAACTCAGTCTCATGACAGACCACCCCACGTGTGCCAGGTAGAAGTATGCTCCGGAGCATTTGCAATGGCTGATTTTTCCGAAGCAGATCTTCAGGCCTTTCTGAGGGGCCTCTGGGTGAAATGGAACTTCTAAAACTTGCCAAGTCTTTGGGTTTGCAGCCAATCACTTTAACCATTTGCCCCACCCAGGGACTCTTCAACATCAATTAATGAAAAATTTTAAATAATAAATTCAGTTCTTCGGTTGCAGTAGCCACATAGCCTATGCTTCCTTGCAGCACGCAGCTAGTGGTTCCTGCCCAGAACAGCATAGGTATGGGGTATTTGCCGCATCTCAGAAAGTTCTATTGGATTGTGTAGAACTAAAAGTCAGTTATCTGGGTTTAAAGCCAAGCTCAGTTGCTTACTAGCTGTGTGACTTTAGGCAAGTTACATAACCTCTCTGTGTATCAGTTTCTTCATAGTATCTACCCCATGGGGCTTTTTTAATGGCTCAATATACATAAAGCACACGGAACAGGACCTGGCATCTAGTAAGTGCTAAGTGTTAGGTATCAGCATCCACATTATTCTTTCATCACACATATATGATTGATGTACTGTTTTGTTTCCACAATAAACATTATTTCCTAAAAAGAGCAAAAGAAACTGATGGGGTGGCAAGGAGAAAGAAGCTAAGAAGCTAGGGTTTTTCAAGGGAGGAGGCAGAAGAAAAGGACAACTTTCTCTGGGAGACCTGAAGATGTTCTAATTGGAGAGAAAGATCTTAGAAGCCTCTTCAGGGAGAGAGGGGAAGTAATTAATGGTTTAAGGATTTGAAGGAGGCAGGAGAGAGCAGATTATGTACAAGAAGAGGGAGTTATCCTTGGAAGGAAGAGGGACACCTTTTCCTCCCAGGTCAGGGCAAAGCAGATTCTAACAGGTGATGTGATAGAAAAGATTCCAGGGAGATGGGAGGGAAATTGAGGGCATGCTTTGCATTTCTCTGTGGATTGGACAAAAGGTTGTTTGCTGAGGGTAAAAGGGCAGTAGGTGTGGCTTAGGGGGTAAGACAGGTTCTATGAAAGACAAACTGTGGCGGAGCAAGTTGTTACTCTTACTGCTATCAGTCTGTTGGGACTCCTAACAGCCCCATGGGTGTCAGAGTAGAACTGTTCCAAAGGGTTTTGAAGGCTAGAGTCTTTCAGAACCAGATTACCAGACCTGTCTTCCAAGGCTCCTCTGGGTGACTTTGAACTGCCTGCCTTTCAGCTAGTAGTCGAGTGCTTAACCATTTTCACCACCCCACTGAATAGACTAGAAATAAGTTTAAAAAAAAAGGACAAGTAGCACTGATTGCCCAGGTCAGGTTAGACTTCTGATCTCCTTCACCTGCACAATGCCTTCCGTGAGGCTACTAGGCTCCATCACAAGGGTGAGGAAGAACGGGACAGAAATTACGAACAATGTGCTAAAAGAACCGCTAGGGGGCAGCCTTTGACAGGCCGCTGGAGAGTGGACGAAGTTACCCGTTTTCCCAGGGATTTGGGATAAAGACCAGTTAGGCTAGGAGGTCCTTCCAAGACAAACAAACCAAACGTGTTGCCACTGAGTCTATTCTGACTCATAGTGACCCTAGAGGACAGAGTGGATCTGCCCCATAGGGTTTCCGAGGCTGTCATCTTTACAGGAGTAGACTGCCACCTCTTTGTCCTGTAGGCTGGTGAGTTCGAACCTTTCGTGTGGCAGCTGAGTGCCTAACCACTGCACCACCAGGGCTCCTAGGGATGGATAGTCCAGCTGGAGCTTCTCTTTGTGGAGAGAGGGATTTGGTAGCCTAGAAACGGTAGGGACAGAATTTGTCTAGGTGACACTGTGGCCAAACTGGAACCAGAAGCCAGGGCTCCTGACTCCTAATCTTCCATTCCTTCTTTCTCCATGCTGTGGCAGGAGTGAAGAAGGGTGGCAGTGAATGTACCAGGATACCCAGAATGTACCCAATGGGCACAGCTAAGTGTCTGGCCCCAGTGCAAAGTAGTGGGGAGGTAAGCACTAAAATCCTGTCCTAGTGTCCAACTGCCTCCCCCAAAAGGGCCCGTGGCCAGTGTGTGTTCCTGAACCAAGAACACAAACCCACACACAGCCCCAAAGGCCACCTTCTCCAGCACTGGTGAGGGCCCAGCTACAGGGCTAGAGATGCCAGGGGTTGGTCTCCACCCTGATGGTCCTGCCAGCTGGCAGGCTTTCCTCTTGCTTTCTCACTGTGACACTGGGGGTGGAGGGAGTGGCCACAGGCCCATCTGGTTGTCAGTCTACACCTTGTGCACTCAGTTTGTGCTGTTGACTGGTCAACAGCTCAGTTGACACATGTTGCTGCTGCTTGGCAGGCTTGGTGGCTGCACGTGCCACATAATTGCACACGGACAACTGGCTCACTAAACGGCTGCCCAGTGTCTACTGACTGGGTTGGCAAGCAGGCATGACACTCTAAGCATAGTAGGTACTTGGTCAATATTTGCTGGCTGGATTGCTGGCTGTCTTTCTGTTTATCTGATTGTGCACACTAGTTCATTGTGCTTTGGTCTCTGGGGCCTTACCTGGTGGATGTCATCCATCCCGTTGCTTGCAAACTCAAAGATCAGGTCACTGGGCTGCAGGGTGATAGCCATGCTGCCTTCTCAGAAAGCTGGAAGCGGGATTTGCAGGACCCTCCGGAGCTGCAGAATTTTCTTGATGAAGTGACAAAATGAAGCAGCTAGGGCACAGCCGGAGCCACACTCAAACAGCCACAGAGAGCTGGACTCGGTGTGGACTAAGGCAGGCTCAGGGCTGCATACTGGACTAGACCAACCGTAGGAGCGACCTAGGAGAAGAAAGATGGGGCAAGAAGTAAGTCATCGATGTCCCTAGGGTGAACCTTTCTAGGGCTGTCAGAAGAGGGGAGGCAGAAAGGGAGGACCAGAGAGGAGGGCGGGTGGAGAGGAGCAGGAAGGAGGCAGGTAGAGAATGAGGGAGGAGAGACATCACTTCCAGTGGGAAGTGGCTAAGCCTTGGGGCCAGCCTGGGTCACCAGTATCTGCACCCCGAGCCAGACACGTGGCCCCCAGAGAAGGTGACAGATGAGGGACTTTGGGTTCTCTCCCACCTAGAGACAAATCCCTAGGGTGCAGCCACAGAGCCTGGCCTCGTGAAAGGCACGCTCTTAGCTTGGGAAGGAAGGGAGGGGTGGTGTTGAGCTCAGTCACCTGGGGAGTGGGAACAGTCACTCTAAGAGCTGGAGTCAGCATGGGGGTTGTGTTGTGTCAGAGACACTGGTGGCTGGATCCCAGGGAAGGGACTCCCAGACTTGGCCTCCAGAGGGCCTAGGGACAGGTGGGTCAGATGCGCTGGAGAAGATGACCTTCGGGGTTGTGTGTGGGTTTGCATTCTTGGTTCAGCTTTGCTTTCAGTTTCAAGACTGAACTGTCACCCTGGAAACTTGTGAGGAGAGCCCTGGCTGGGGGAGGAGGGGCTGACGGAACCTTCCCCATCACCCCCAGGGCTGGTTCAGGTCTCTTCTCCAGGAAATCTCTGTCTGCTGCAGCCCCACTCTCCCCCTACACAAACGCTGCTCCCAGAATGCCTCCCGTGCTCACAGTCTGTGCCTCAGTTGCCTCAGACCCTCACGTGTCATTCGGCAGCCTGTGGTTTTCTGGGCCTCCACTCCTCATGACTGTCAGCCCCATTGCTGCTCTTCCAGGTGGCCTCCGTGATCACACATGCCTGCCTCCCAATGTCCTGGCTCCCACTCGGACCTTCTTTCCTGGCAGCCTGCTTCTCCACATCTAGGTATCACGTCTTTGGCCCCTGGCTCCTGGTGACCCCATGTTGCCCAACCCTGCCCCATCCCCACAGACAGATTCAGACTGATTGTTGTGACCCACACAGGGTTCTCACTGGCTAATTTTCAGTAACAGATCAGCAGGCCTTTCTTCCTAGTCTGGCATCATGTTGTTGTGTTGTTGTGAAGTGCCACTGAGTCGGTTTCAAGCCATAGAGACCCTGGTTAGGGTTTCCGAGGAGCAGCTGGTGAGCTTGAACTGCCAACCTTGCAGTTCAAACAGCTTTGCAGTCTGGCGCATGAACCCACAGCGCCAGAGCATGGCACCACTCAAATCCTTACTGAAAGATGGGTAGTGGGTATAGGAATCAAACCTGGGTCTTGCCCATGAGATCCTCCGGGGTGGTGGTGGAGGTGTGTGTATGTGTGTGTGTTTTAACAGTCTGGTTTAACCTTGAGTGCTTGAAGAACTGAGTCCACACATACAGTGGGAGCAACACCCCTACCTCCTTGACAAACCCTGGGCAGTGCCAGGGTGGCAAAGCCTTCTCCTGGCCAGGAAAACAAATGAGGAACTGCAGAAAGGGGGAAAGGGGAGAAGGGAGGGGGCCACGGATGACCTCCCTAGATGACCGCTTTCCCCCACCCAGAGACACCCAGGCCTCTCCCACTTCCTTTCCGTTAGCCCACAGGGCTGACTCCGCCCTCTCCCCACCCCCATCCCACTCCCACACCTTTCCACCAAATAACCTCTTCACCTGGCAGGTCTGAGTTTCTCTGTGGGTGGGTGAGAGCCTGAGTCTGACCAGGTCTACCCCAAGCAGGAGAGGAGCCCAGCCTGCCTCCCCCACCCCCACCGTGACAGACCCTGACTGTGACCTGGTCTCAGTCAGCAGGCCATTTGTGCTTGGAAGGTCTGTCTACCCTAGCATAAGCGCCCCAAGGCCTGCATTCCGCAGCTCCCCACCCTCCCACAGGCCTGTCTGCCCCCTGGCAGCTTTTCGCATACTAATCAAATGAAAGGGGATCACTTTCACCTAATCCCACTTTGTCTAAACACGAAACTCCTGCGACTGCTCCCCCTGCACCCCGAGGTCATTCTACAGCACCCTTCCCTCCAGGTTCGCTCAACTCTGGCTCCTCCGCACACATCAATACAAGTATTTCAAGTTTGCTGGGGTCACGGCTGCTGCCCTGCTGCCTGGGAACGACCCTGTGCCTTCCTACCTCCCCCAAGAGGCAGTGGCTAGAGGACAGACACAGCTGTGTGCTGGCCTTAGCACTTTACCCCGAGACTGTCATGTAGCCGACTCAAGAGTGAACACATGACTACATGAATGAATGAGGGGAGGCCATGAATGAGGGGAGTAAATCCACGTGTGCCAGGTGGGGATCATGCATTTGATCATTGCAAACGTGCCTTGTTGCTGTTGTTGTCATCGTGGTTTGGTGCCTTGGAGTTGATTCTGACTAATAGCGACCCTGTGATGGTGGTGGTGGTTATGTGCCGTGGAATAGATTCCGACTCATAGCGACCCTACACAGGGTTTCCGAGGCTGTCAATCTTTACGGAAGCAGAAAGCCTCATCTTTGTCCCGCGGAGCCGCTGGTAGTTTCGAACTGCTGACCTTGAGGTTAGCAGCCCAACTTATAACCACTTAGCAACCCTATCGTTGCTGTTGTTAAGTACCGTGGAGTCGGTTCCGACTCATAGTGACCCTGCACAGGGTTTCTGAGGCTGTAAATGTTTATAGGAGCAGAACGCCTCATCTTTCTCCCGCAGAACAGCTGGTAGTTTCGAACTACTGACCTTGAGGTTGGCAGCCCAACTCATAACCACTAAGTTACCAGAGCTCCTTTAGGACAGAGCGACTCTATAGGACAGGAAAAAAAACCCTGTTCCGTGGGGTTTCTGAGGTTGTCAATCTTTACAGAAGCAGACTGTCTCGTTTTTCATCTGCAGAGTCATTGGGTAGACTGGAACAACCAACCTTTCAGTTAGCAGTCAAGTGCTTAACCCTCACACCACCAACGTAGGTTACAGCTAGCTGTACATTTGTGCATTGCTAGTTAGTTAGTTACTGGAGTCCTGCCTGGTGTGGCACTATGGGATAAAGCAATGGACCAAAAGGTTGGTTTGAACCACAAGGTTGGCAGTTCAAACCCACCAACCACTCCTTGGAAACCCTATACAGGGTCGCAATGAGTTGGAACCGACTCAACAGCACTTAACAACAGCAACAAGTTAGTTACTTGGGGGCATGCTCTGTGTCCGCAGTAGGTGTGCAAACACCCGGTAGATGTGCATGTGTGTCGGAGCTACTCATGTGTCCCGAGTGTGGGAACATGTGTGGGAGAACCTCTATGTGTCAAATGGTGACCCTGTAAGGTTCCTCCTCCAGAGAAGCCAAACCCAGGCTGATGCTGGCTGATGCTGGCTCAAAGCAGCTGTGGTGAAAAGAAATGGTGGGGTGGGGAAGACGTAACAGGCAGGCCTCCCGACCCCCCACAAAGCAAATTTCAACTTGGATGCTTCCTTGGAACAGAGTGCCATCAACAATAAGAATGTGACCCGTGGGTCCTGGAAATGAGCCCCCCAATGTTCCACTCTCCTGGGGGCGTGGTGGGGGAGGGAAGGCCACCAGGGCTCATTGCTGTATTGGATGGAACCTTTGGCCATCAACACGAAGAGAAAAAGTTTGAAAAGAAAAGGACGGGGCTAATTTTGACACTTTCTTCCATCTTTCTGCATGTTTAAAGGTCTAAATGCAAGACTGGGTAGGTGAAGCTTTCACTAGCCCAGGATTCGGAGACCATGCCCAGCACCCAAGGATGACACTGGGAATCTTGGTGTAGCCTGAACTTAGGGTAGGGATAAAGGATGGAAGGAGCTTCATATGTTTTTGGCCAAGGCTAAGAAAACCTTCCCCCTCCTCAATGGAACCTTCCAGGCCAGAAAGCTTCCCTCCCCCTCGGAGATGTTTGAGGATTTGAAAGTGAGAGGTGGGGAGATGCTCGTTTGCATGTTCACTCACTCTCCCCTGCAGAGGAGTGAAACGCCCCCCTCCCCCTCCCTCAAAATAACCTCCCTCTCCCAGGAATCTGAAACCAAAGAAGCCACCAACACGGAAGGCCCGCCCTGCTGGAGGCCTCAGAGGCCCACACCAGGGGCGCCCCGGTATGCTTACAAGAGCCCTTTGGCTGGGATGATGCTTCAGTGGCCCAGCGCCCCCGGACACTGCCGGGCTGGCCAAGTGGGGGGTTGGGGGCATACACAGACACGTGGCTCTAGGAATTGAGGTGCCTGGGAGCCCTTAGCAACCGGTGGTAAGTTCCTGCCCCCTACCTCTCCACAACCCGCCCCCCACAACCCTACCCCCATTCTGGTCCCTCACTGCACAGCTGGCTCCAGTCAAGAGCACTGCTCCCTTGGAGACCCTGCAGGGTCCCTGATTCCCAGGGCCTGGTCTACACAGGCTGCTACAAGCGAAACCTTTGGTCTAGCGGATGGTCCCTAGATGCTGTATGTGTGCCAGCAAGTGAGGACGCGCCAGCCCCGGCCTGCAAACGTACACCCCTGGCTCTCTGTGGTTTCAAAACCAAAGCAAAATAGAAGTGGTTTGAGCTGCTTCAGCCTCACCACAGCTGGGCCCCCTTCAGACTCACAGACCCCAATCTGGGTCTGTCACTGGAACATGTCAAGCAGTGTCCAGCGCCCACCCAGCTGGGCCTCCTTCACAGGAAACGGCCCTGTGCGAAAGCCACGTCCTCAGTCCCTGTAGCGTGCGTTGAAATCGGCACCCGTTCAGCTGAGCCAATGGTTCTCCCAGAATTGCTGGTAACACCCGTGGCATTTTCACACATGCCAAGAAACATGGGGGCCAGATGGTCAGCTGGGCTACAAAGTAGAATTCTCCTTCCCTAATCACTCATCTGCACAGAGCCAATTCTCACTCCTGAAATACCCTGTCCTTCATGAAACCTTTCTGGAATTCTCTGGAAAGGAAGTGACAATTTCCTTCATGCCATTTCCCACTCCCTCA